CTTATAAATTGTGTAAATAAAAACATTTTCTAGGCATCTTTAAAACATCTTATCTTAAAAAGTGTAAATAAAACAAAGCTTACAACAGCTGTAGCCATACAGAAATCTTGACCCTAAGCTTCGCGGAGATAAACGCTGCTGAATTCCTTGACTCAGAAAACCTTTATCTGCCTGAAATTGAAAGCAGAAAAACAGATGCTAACCCTTGAGGAGTCCTGTAAATCTATGTCTGAAGACTCTGTGGTTCTTTGGGAGAAACGTGACTCAGCTGAAAGGAGGGTCATTAAGTTGTTTGAAGACTTAACTAAACTTCAGGCGGATCAGGCCCAGTGTGTGATGACGATTAAAAATTAGGCGAAGGACATTGTTGAGCTTAAATTACTATTGTAGGCAGCTGAACAGCGTGTGGCCTTTGCTTCGGTGCTTCAGCGGCCGCTTGACCAATCTGGGCCCAGTAAGAGGGGTACAGTCTCACAAGCCTCCTCTCCAGCTGTACCACCTGCTTCCCTGGCTGCTGGTGATTCTGACATCAGCCTTCCTGTTCTAGTTGCAATAGACCGGGTTCTGGCCGTCATGACTGCAGATGTTTACAGAATGGTCAGGAACATCATCAAATTTGAGCCCAATCCGGGGGAATAACATGAGATTTGTGCTTATCTCTGTGAACTTGGCTGCTATCTGAACAGACACCCTGGTGCTACAGTCCAGGATAAGGTCTTATTGATCAAACTCGCCTCCTGGACGTGGATGGTTACGAGTATACTATGAAAAGAGGGGGTGATCTTCGGGTTACTCTGGAGGGAGGAGTTCTTGGTACTCCTCCACGGGGCGGTCGTCTGGCTCGGGTGAATGACGCCCTTGCCCTGATCGTTCCTCACCATGCCGCGACTGCACTTGCAACAGCCCTGGTGCTCCAGCCTGACAAGCCTGAGGAACTTAAACCCAACAGAAACTCTGAATCCCTGTGACTCTAGAGGGGTTGCTAACCTGTGAGACTATCTTGGACACTGGGCCGTACGTTTGTTTCATATCTCGTTCACTTTGGGAACACCTCCATTTGGAGAGAACCAGGGTTGGAATTTAAAACTTGAACCCTGTGCCGTGGCCCGTGGACGTCAGTCCTTGTCCTCCGGTTTCAACGACTTTGTTGTCGGTGTCTTCCTTAGACTCTTCAGTTGGTTGAGTCATCCCATGTTTGTGTCTGACCTTGAGTATTTTCCTTTTCTGTTTGGCAAAGATCTGATCAATTGCCTTCAGCCCATTGTTGACCTCCAAGGGTCGAAGCTCTGGACTCAATTTGCTCAACTTCTGCTGACGGAGCAGCCTCCGAACCTCATTTCTTCTCGTTGTGCTGTGAACAGCGCCGCCCATGTAGCTAGTCGATATGGTGTTTCACTGGTCTGTCTCATGCCTAGTGTCTGTGTTGTCTCTATGCACCCTAAGACACCTCGTCCTATGTTGCGTTGTCCACCTACTGCGGGGGGTGGTGGTGGGGGGTCAAAGGTCAAACCGACCCTGCACTGTTACAGGCTGACCCCGTTCTTTCGGGCTGCACTCGCACTCCAACTGAGAGCCTCTGGGGTCTGTCCCTTCGTGGTTGACCCCCTTTCATCAGCTCTGGAGTGTTCCCATGCAGAGCCCTCGATAGGTTGCTTGTGCGCCAGTTCCTGGTCTCCATCGGTCGAAGTCCCAGGTGTCTGGACTGGCGAAGTTTCTGATGGTGGTCGTATGTGTCTTAGTGATCTCCGACACGGCTAAGCCTTCTCAGCAGCAGCTTTTTGACCCCGGACCCTCTTCGGGGATTGCACTCAAGGAATGTCCAATCAATCAATCAATCAATCAAAGCTTTATTTATAAAGCGCCTTCCGCAACCCTGTCAGGAAGCCCAAAGCGCTGAACATTGTACAGTTGTATGTAAATATATTGAATAAATCAACAATAAAAGAAATTCAAATTACAAAAAACAAATTACAAAATACAAAATGGAAATTACAAGATAGATGAAACATTCTGGTAAAGGACAAATGTGTGAAACACATGTCCAGGGCTATTGATGACGAACTACTGTTTTCCAGTCACCCAGAAGGTGTTTGTCAAGTTTGACCCTGAGATGGCCTGCCGTCAGAAACTGCAAAAGTCCTTCAGTGCGCTAACTGCAACTGGTATGAACTGGACTCGGACAATGATGTGGCACTCTGACACTAACATCGCTCACATGCTACAACAGCTGCAGAAATTCATTGTTATCAGTTCGGAGATTTTTGACGCATCTTGCAAACATCTTACATACCACTGCTGTTAGCGTGGGGCTGCGCTGGTTAGTCCACGGCCATGCGTTCGAGGCCGACGTTTACTATGACCACCACGACGTCTCCACCCGTGTTGATCTGCCATCCCAGACGTTGTGGATGTCAGTCCCTCGTGGTGCCATGGTCCACATTGGTGAGGTCTCTCTGCATTAATGAGAGCCTGCTCAACACGAGGCTACTATAGAGCATTCTCCTTTTTATGATAACATCTCTGTTGCTGTGTCCCCTGCTACCAAAGAACGTGTACATTCATAGGTCTATCAATAGTTCGGGTTGTTGCGGTAGACAGGGTGCTGCGGGAGATGTCTTCTGGTTCCGGACTTAGCTCTCAGCCTGTGACTTTTTTATGGACCTCTGCCAAATCTGTTATTTTCCTAACTATATGTTTGAATTGCGGTCTGTCACTCGGATTGGCATATGCCCTCTTCCGTTACTTCTCTGCACATTTGACCCCATGGAGGCCTCGCTCCGTGGTTTGTGGAGACGACTGGAGGACACTCTGGAGCTCATGGTCCAAACTGGACCTCCAGCACCTCCACCACCACATTGAGTGCTGAACTCTGTATCAGGCCCTCTCTCTCTCTCTCTCTCTCTCTCTCCAAGGGGAGGTTGACTTCACATAGATTTTTCTTTTCTCTCTCTCCCACTAACTCTCTGTTCTCTGGCTTTGTTTATGAAGGTCAGTGTTTTGAATGTGTTGGTGTGTGCTTGCGCGTAATTCATGTCCTAGTCTGCTGGTTATGTTGACAACCAGACTTGGTTGACTTTGATGATGACGCGTTGTGGGTTTCTGAGGGGTGTATTCGCATTTCGGTGGGCATCTGGGGATTAGAGGTGACGACGAGGTTATGACAGCAGGAAGCTGTTAAAACTGCAAACATAAGATCTTCTTTTCATTTCTGTTACAATTTTTATCTTTTATGTTTCATTTTGTTTACTTTAGAAGAACTTACACGTATCCATGGAGGTCAAATACTAAAGTTGATTTGGCTTGTTGCACATCTTTGATGCTTTTTCATATTATTGGTATTGTGATTTGCTACTTTAGGTGAAGTGCATCATCACTTAATCACCTAATTATTCAGTGGCGTAAACATTTTGTAAACGTTACTAAATGTTCGTTTAAAATACACAATCGGATTAATCTTTTGGCTAAATTATTCTTTTCCACCAAGAATTTTCATAAACAAATGCAAGAACCAAGTTAATCAAATAAATCTCTTTATTGTCCCGCAGTGGGGAAAAGTTGTCGTGATTCATCTTTTTACACCATAACTATTAATGAGTAACATCTGGTTGTGAATCAGTTTACATTTATAAAAACTATTTGCATATATAGACCTATCCCATTTTAATTAGACTAAAACAATTGTATACCTACAGTTTTAAGAGCTGAGTTATTTTTTCCACAGCTCTTAAGAGAATCCTAATTATGAAACAATGGAAACATTCTTGAAGAGAGCCATAATATTAATTTTGTCTGCGTTGCTCCATAAACCTAATTCACACATGCACATAAATAATTATTCACAAATACAAAAAGCTGCATAAAGGCGGTCATAACTGCTCTGAATAATTGATTGTTAGTGACATTGCGCCGCTCTAAGGTTTCAATCCGATCATTGTTCCTGTTTCGGGTCGATGGGTGGTGAGGAAAAAGTGAACTTCTCACACAAGTTACCCATCATGTACCAGCCTTCTAGCCCACGTCCAGCTGTACACTTTGTTACTGGATGAGATCTTCTCTTCTGCTGAGCAAGATGCAGCAGCGGTGAGATCTTTTAAACCCTGCAGCTTCATTCGTCTCCAGCTCACATCATTTCTGGATGCTGCAGGGTCATTTTGCTCAGAGATAGGACCATGAAAGGAAGATGCCTCAAGATAATCTGATCACCTCTGAGAACGACAGTAAGACTACAAGAATGTTTCTATTTCGGTGGCAAAATAGTTGCTTTTCACGCCATACTTGTTTATTACTTTTGATATAAGTATGAAATATTTAGAGATTATGCATGTGATATACCTTCAATATTTTTGTTTAATTTGACACGTTTATTCATATATCTGAGAATTTTGAGTATTTAAACAGTGAGATTTTTCATTGAGGTGACTTGTGTTTGGTAGATACACATTAGTCGAGTCTTACAGAGGTTTTCTTGATCTGAAAGCAAAACTTAATTCCAGGTGCTTTAAGGTGAAAAAAAAAGTTTGCACTATGAACTAGTACATTCCTGTCTTCTGCTCACGTTTGAAAGCTGGCTGCTGGCCCTCCACCATCTCTGTCTTTGTGGACTTGTCCAACCCATCTCCCATCATTAGGCTTTTGTTCGTTTCCTTTGTGCCCCTCTGCTGCACCCGACCGTAATGACCCGTGTGCTGCCCACTCCGGTTACAGTAAGGACACACATCAAAAGGCTGAGTACATAAATATCTGCTCAGTCTGTCAGTGGTCCTCTTTGTTTTCCTCAAGAGCCAGGTGCACAATAAGGAAGGTTTGGCTCAACTAGTGAAAGGAGTCAGTGTGGCATGATAAAGCTCTACAAAACTGACTGGATCCATAAACCTGGGCTTGTCACAGGCGCTCATTCAGAGTAATTATGCTATTTATAAAGCAGTATGTCAAGATTTATGCAAAGTGAAGCGGATTTGACTTTTTTTCCCCAAATAAAGTCCAAGCTGCAAACAGTAATGCTAAGCTTGCTTGCAAAGCTAGAGATGATCTGCAAGAGGAATGATTCTAAACAAACCATAAATCCTCAAATAACTAACAGATTAACCACATTTTATGCTATTATCATGTGTATATGTCAGTCTAAACATTGATGAAAATTGTAGGCTAATCTCAGTGTGAGGAAAGTCTTTAATTACACAATCATTGCTGATTGTTGCAGTGCCCAAACAATTTTCTATAAAATCATATTGAAGTGGACTTCTGCTCACAACTCTGTCTCTGCGTGCTGTAACATTACAGACATCAACATCTGAATCATCTGTGGGCATTTATGGCAGCAGTGTTTGCCAAATGCATGACTGACATGCACTTTGTGTCTGTGATTTACCACAGTACGTTGTTTCATTTTAATTTTGATGCATTTTTTTTGCATTCAATATTTGAAGTTTTAATTTGGGAGAATGAGTAAAAATCCCGCTCTAAGCCAACTTGAAACACACATAACCAGACACAAAAAAGGTTTTAGAAGCTGATGAGTGGTAAAGAATTTGTTCTAAATTTAGTTTGAGGTCTTCTCATGCTGAGGCATCATTTACTAAATGACCAGTAATACAACAATCATGTATCTGTTGATGTCCATGTAAGCTGATGAATAAAAACATTTTAACTGCAGGTGACAAAGATTTTCTGGAAGAATCTGAAAATGAACACAAAAAGAAAAAAAGAGATTCCACGAGAGAGAAGAGGAGGAGAAGAAATGGGAGGAGAAAACGATCATCATCGGCTGCAGAAGGAGAAAAGGAGCTCAAAGAAAGATCTGACTACAAAGACAGGGGTAGAAGAAAAAGTTTAAAGAATGAAAACAGACCTAAAAGAAGTGAGAGGGATGAGGGGAACTGGGGCCAAACGATGCATAAAACACCAAAGAAAAAGAAAAGCATGAACACAAAAACAAGAAAGATAAACAACAATGAGGAGGAAGAAGCTAAAGAAAGAATGAAAAAGAAGCATGGACGTGCCAAAAGCGATGAGAAGAAAGAAAATAAAGACAAGGCAAAAGAAAAAACACAGGAACCGAAGAAAAAAAAGCACAAGAAGGTTGTCGAATCGAGGTTAGTCAAACAATTTCTGCTGTTTAAGAAAAACCATTGTGTTATGGATCAATGGCAATCTTCAATCTCAGTTCAGAACAGGAAACAAGTGAGGAAGAAGATGATAAAGAGACCAATGATGATGATGAGGTGAGACCAGAGTGTTTGTCACCAGAGGAGCTGGAGAAGCTGAAGGAAGCTGTGGAAGAGAAGAAGAAACTGATCCAAAGCCTGAAGGGGAAACCCTGGCCCATGAAGAAGAAACTTGTCACGTTACGGTAATTTGTTAAGATCTGAACATCGGGAAAAACTTGATTACAGGCTTTCCTGTGTTAGCTGGTGTGCACCTTTTGTGCAGGGAGTCTCAGGAGTTTGTGGAGAAATATGAAGGAGCTTTAGGGAAGGGGAAAGGCAGGAAGCTCTACGCCTACAAGGTCATGATGACTAAGGCAAGTACAGACCGATTTCCACTGATTCACCTAAGAACTTCTCACAAAACCAAAAACGTTCAACATCTTTTTCTTTTTATTCTTTAATGTTTGTAGAAGTGGGTGAAGTTCCAAAGAGATTTTGAAAACTTCAAAACAGCCTGCATTCCATGGGAGATGAAGATAAAAGAGATCGAAAGTAAGTTTGTATAAAAAGGAAAACTTTTCCATCCCAGTTTGGTTCGGTCAAACATTTACACATTGATCAGACTCATGTCTCCCTGAGAAAGTACGTTGTTTATTCACGCACAGGCCATTTTGGCTCCTCGGTTGCCTCCTACTTCATCTTCCTGAGGTGGATGTACGGCATCAACATGATCTTGTTTGGACTGACCTTTGGACTGGTCATGGTACCAGAGGTATATGACCTGACTGGACTGGAACTTAACTATGAGTTCAATTTTACTGAATCATCTCAGAAAGATTTCTTTTTTTCTCCTCCCTGTTTCTTGCTAACAGGCGTTAATGGGACGGCCTTATGGCAGCATTCCTAGGAAGACAGTCCCCAGGGCTGAGGAGGCCAGTGCCATGGACTTTGCTGTTTTATGGGACTTCAAGGTCCATCATAATTATACCAAACAATGATAAACATCACTTTTAGTTTCCTTCATGTTATTATGTACATGTATTTAATGATTTTGCGTCCCAGATTTAGGAAATTCCATTTTCACAGGGTTACGCTCAGTATTCAGTCCTCTTCTACGGTTTCTACAATAACCAGCGTGCCGTTGGCTGGCTCAAGTTCCGCATGCCTCTGTCCTACTTCCTCGTTGGTGTAGGAACAGTGGCCTACAGTTACATGGTTGTTATAAGAACGTGAGTCAGCAATTGCAATGTGCAGTTAATGCACATCCTGATTAAAAATGTTTTACTGAGAGCTTATTTCTGAATAAAGAATGGCCCGCAATGCAAACGAGTCAGGGATCGGAGATGACAACAGCTTCAACTTCAGCTGGAAGATGTTCACCAGCTGGGATTACCTCATAGGAAACCCTGAGACCGCAGACAATAAGTTTGCCTCCATCACCACCAGCTTCAAGGTCAGAGCAGGTGTTTGGACATTTAATACAGGAATTGATAGAAAGGATTATTTCCTATTTCTGCTTCGAATCAAGGAAGCAATCTTGGAGGAGCAAGAGAGTCGGAAAGATGACAACATTCATCTTACTCGTTTCCTGCGCGTCTTGGCGAATTTTCTGGTATTGTGCTGTTTGGCAGGAAGTGGATATCTCATTTACTTTGTTGTGCGCCGCTCTCAAAAGTTTACTCTGGAGGGTCTGGAGAATCACACCTGGTGGGAAAGGAATGAGGTAAAAATGGAAAAGTGACAAACTAATGTTTTCATCTGTGAAAGGATGAGGCTATTTTATTTAAACTATGCACATATATCTTGGATATTTAGTGAGATCCAGCATTGTTTCATGGCATTGGATGAATACAGTCTGTACAACAAAAACAAGAAGTATTTCCTTTGATTGTAAGGCCTTTGTGTTTCTCAGGTAAACATGGTCATGTCCTTACTGGGAATGTTCTGCCCCATGCTGTTTGATGTCATCAGTACGCTGGAGAACTACCACCCCCGCGTTGCCCTGCAGTGGCAGTTGGGCCGCATCTTTGCCCTTTTCTTAGGAAACCTCTACACCTTCATCATTGCTCTCATGGATGAGATCAATCTCAAAGTGAGGATGCAAGACTGTGTGATGATGTGTTGTTAAAGCTTGATTGATGAGAGTGTGTTTGTCTCAGAGAAAAGAGGAGACGATAGTAAAGTTCAATATAACAACGTGGGAAACCAGTCTTTACAACAGCAGTATGTCAGGAAACGTCACAGCTCCTCCAGTCACCATCCACCCAGCTGATGTGCCCAGAGGTCCATGCTGGGAGACAATGGTGGGACAGGTCAGTGTGCACATGTGTTGTCAAACTTTTATGTAACTGTTATACATGTGCTAGTCAGAAAATTAGAATATCATGACAAAGTTGATTTATTTCAGGAATTCCATTCAAAAAGTGAAACTTGTATACTGGATTCATTCATTACACAGACTGGTATGTTTCAAATGTTTATTTATTTTAATTTTGATGATTAGAACTGACAAATAATGAAAATCTCAAATTCAGTAACTCAGAATACAATATAAATTAAGACCAATGCAAAAAAAAGGAATTTTAGAAATGTTGGCCCACTGAAAAGTACGATAATGAAAAGTATGAGCGTGTACAGCACTCAGTTTTTAGTTGGAGCTCCTTTGTCCTGGATTACTGCAGCAATGCGGCGTGCCATGAGTCGATCAGTCTGTGGCACTGCTCAGGTGTTATGAGAGCCCATGTTACTCTGATTGTGGCCTTCAGCTCTTCTGAATTGTTGGTCGCTTATTGCATCTTCCTCTGCACAATACCCCATAGATATTTTTATGGGGATAGGATCAGGCACGTTTGCTGGCCAATCAAGAACAGGGGTACTATGGTCCTTAAATCAGGTACTGGTAACTTTGGCACTGTGTGCAGGTGCCAAGTCCTGTTGGAAAATGAAATCTGCATAAAGTTGGTCAGCAGCAGAAAGCTTGAAGTGCTCTAAAAGTTCCTGGTAGATAACTGCATTGACCTTGGACCTCAGAAAGCACAATAGACCAACACCAGCAGATGACATGGCACCCCAAACCATCGCTGACTGTGGAAACTTTACACTAGACCTCAAACAACATGGATTCTGTGCCTCTCATCTCTTCCTCCAGGCTCTGGGAACTGATTTCCAGAGGAAATGCAAAATTTGATTTCATCAGAGAACATAAGTTTGGACTAGTCAGCAGCAGTCCAGTCCTTTGTGTCTTTAGCCCAGGCGAGATACATCGGACATTGTCTCTTCTTCAAGAGTGGCTTGCTTGACACAAGGAATGCAACAGCTGAAATCCATGTCTTGCATATGTCTGTGTGTGGTGGTTCTTGAAGCACTGACTCCAGCTGCAGTCCACTCTTTGTGAATCTCCCCCACAATTTTAAATGGGATTTGTTTCATAATCCTCTCCAGGGTGTGGTTATTCCAATTGCTTGTAAACATTTTTCCACCACATCTTGCCCTTCCCTTCACTTCTCTATTAATATGCTTGGACACAGAGCTCTGTGAACATCTAGCCTCTTTAGCAATGAACTGTTGTGTCTTGTCCTCCTTGTGCAAGGTGACCAACCATGGTCATCTTTTGGACACCTGCAGGGCTGGACTGGGACAAAAATTCAGCCCGGGCATTTTGACTGGAGACCGGCCCATCACCTGTTTTTTTTGGAAAAGACATTAAGCCTTACGCTGTTTCTGACACACACCAACGTTATTGGTAGTATTTATGTATCAATCTAATAAACGTAAACCTACACCATCCTTCCTATCCTGGTATTCTAAAAAGTAGGGTTGGGGGTAACTGATTATTTTTAAAATGATTATTCTGATGATTATTTTATCGAATAGTCGACTATTCTAATGACTATTTAGATGATTAATCTAGCGATTACTTTTCTATTGCACAATTAATAAAAACCAAAAAATTCTCAAATAAATTCCTCCAAAAAATTGATAAGTCGTTACTGTAAGAGAATAAACACTACAGGCCTTCCATTTTGTATAACACTGCTTTTATTGTGTTGCGGTTGTTTATGTTCTGGTGATGTGTAGAACTTGGGAGTGCAGGCTGCTGCCTGAGAGGTGGTTGGAGACGGAATGTCTCCATGCTGCTTTGATTTGTTCACTTATGTGCATGAGGCAAGTGGTGTTACGACCCTTCCTGGGGAGTCACGTGTTTCTCCTATTTTAACTGTAAATCCTTCTAGCTGTTATATTTATTACAAGAAACAGATATTCGGATGGAATATTTTCATGTTTATTCGAATATGATTGTGGAACACACCCAGCATCATAATAAATGAAGTAATATTTATGCCAATTTAAGCCTTTATGGGTGACCAGGACTCTGTGATCAATTTTTGGCAAGGGAAATGATCATTTGTTGCCATTTTTGAAGAGTTTATGAATGTGAAAGACACCCAGCATCCTGTGATGGCACTAATAACATCAAGAGATAATAAATAAAGTAATATTTAGGTAAATGTAACCCTTTACACGTGACCAGGACACTGTAATCAATTTTTGGCAAGGGAATTTATCTTCTTTTTTTTTCTTTTCTTTTTTTTGCCATTTTTGGGGTGTTTTTGATGATACAGTAGACAGTATGAGTACAGTAACATCAACAGATAATACATAAAACCCTTATTTGGTCAATTTTAGCCTCCATGAAAATCTTAGCGATTCAACCACTTTTTGGCAAGTAAAATGCCATTTTAGTTGTCTACAATTAAATCATCAATAAAGAATTTAAAGATATTTTGAGGCGTTTCTTATAGGTAAACGGGAGGGTGTAGTCTATTTGGCAAGTGACAATCTTAATTTTATGTGCTGAAGTGCTTTTATCTTGTTACTTTTAAATAGAGCAACGTAATGTATAGATAGCAACCTACACAGTGTCATTAAAGTCAATGCTTGATCATTTTAAATACTTTTTTTCAAGTAAAAATGTGCCCCAAACTAGTTAACTGTGGCTCCATGTCAAGTAGACTAAAGAAAGGAAGGGGAAAAAATTAAATCGCTGGAGAATTGTTTATTTCCATTTATACAACGTTTACATTCAATACAGGGTGCCATTTTACATTGTTTATTTATTTTTTTAGTATCAAGGCTGTAACATAAAGAAAGCCAGTTCTTACCACAAAGTTTGTGGCACAAACCATCTTTCAATCGCAAATATTGCAAAAAGGCTTAATATACCCTCATTGTGAACGTTTAAGACAAATAGCAACACTTAAAACAACTTCAGAACTGGAAAAACTAATTTGGCAGGTGCAGAAAGGAATGCCCGGGCGGGATTCGATCCCCAGACCCCCGGGTGAGAGTCATACGCTCTAACCAGTCAGCCAAAGAGACATCTCTTTGGCCAATTAGCCAGGACGCATGATCAATCGGGACATTGTGGATGCTCACACTGCCACATCTTCCTCCCTCTTTCCACAAGCACGTCCTCGTGCTCCCGCGCAGGGTGCCACAAACACTGCCACACTAATATCCGCGATAAACATCTGTTTAAGTACCGGAAGAGGTTATCTTTGCTTTCTGAATGTCCATATTGCTAGATATGCCGAGTTTTAGGGCGAAATCCTGGGGAATTTTGTCTAGAAATGCAATTACCTAACCGTGCGCGATCCCGCAGTGGCTAATCATTTTTTGGCAGCGAGTCAATTTATGGCACAACACCGGCTCGGGTTTCTCCTCCTCCTCCCTCTTTTCTTCTCCAACCTGTCGCTGGGCTGAGGCTCCATCACTTCCTAAATTGATTTTACTTGAACCTTCACTACCAAACAACTGTGAGATTTTAACACATGTGCCAGTTTCTTTTGTAGTCGAATTTTCTCCGCTCCTCCTTTCCGTTTTTTGTTCTCCATTTTGTAAAGCTCGTCTGTCTGTTTACTGAGATTCACAAACAACTGGCGGGTGCATCAGACCTCTGGCTATTGGTCCAGCCCAGAGTGTATTATTACCAATTGGCCAATCCACCAACTTATGAGGCGTCGCGTGGGGCGGCGCGGGCAAGTTGTCCGCAACAACTAGAGGCCAGGAAAAAAAAAAAACAGACACCGGCCCATAAAAGATGAAAGGGTCGGCCCAGCGGGCAGTTGCCCGCTATGCCCTATGGTCAGTCCAGCGCTGGACACCTGTTAAGTCAGCAGTCTCTTCATGATTGCGTAGCCAACAGAACAAGACTGAGAGATCATTTAAAGGCCTTTGCATGGACTTTGAGTAATTTAGCTGATAAGAGTGTGGCACCAGAGGTATTCAGTATTGAACCATTTCACAATATTCTAATATTCTCAGATACTGAATTTGGGATTTTCATTAGTCGTTAGTTAATCATCAAAATGAAAAGAAATGAACATTTGAAATATATCAATCTGTGTCATGAATGAATATAATATGCACATTTCACCTTTCAAATGGAATTACTGAGGTAAATCAGTCTCATCATAATATTCTAATTTTATGACTAGAACCAGTAAATCTGTTTTAATTTGTTTGAAATGACCAATGTGACATAACATTTTCAAATGAAATTTAAAATATTTTTATTAGCATGTTTTTTTCTTAACAGCTCAATCTTCCATATGATGTTTGTGAATTAAAGTGTTTAATCTCTGTTTCACCGCACTTGTAATTCACAATTCATTCAGCTGAAGATTGGCTGTTTTCTGGGTCTGAATAACTTGGCCACCACATTACACACACTAAACAACCCTTTGAGTCTTTGTTAAACAATTCTGTATAAAGCTGTTAATATGCATTTGCTTGATGATTTGCAGGAGTTTGTCCGGCTGATCATATCAGACACAATGACTACTTACATCACACTGCTGATTGGTGATTTCCTCAGAGCTGTGCTTGTCCGTTTTCTTAACTACTGCTGGTGTTGGGACCTTGAGGCTGGATTTGTGAGTTACCTTTGCAGACTCGTGGCTATGAAGAATCTTTTCTGAATAAAATCAAGCTATATCTGAGTCACTGTTGATTTTGTGACACTTTTATCCAAGCCATCTTACTCTGAGTTTGATGTCAGTGGAAACGTTCTGGGTCTGATCTTCAATCAAGGAATGATATGGTGAGAAAAAAATATTAGCTTGATTTAGATTCAGTTAATTATAAAAGGTGCAATTCAAATACTTTATTTATAACTGTCATATTAAAGCAGGGGTATGTAGTTGAATTTTTTAACAAATAATTTACGTGAGCCAAGAGCTGCCAATCGATGTGAGTGCGCCCCAGATCCCAGCATGCACTATGGGGTGATGCACAGTTGTGCACACCAACCTAGCTTAAACGCTACTTGACTTGCACTGAGTTAATACAAATCTGTAGTCTTCAAGCTAACTGTGGGAGAGGAAGGAGGGAAATGAAAATGAATTTACCTTTTCTGTTTTGAAGCTGATGAAACTTTCAATGTTAGGTAACTTTATTGACAACAGTGAAGGAGCCCTGCAGCGACATGAGCTAAGGTTAACAGCAGCATGCAACAACCACATGGGCTAACAAACATAGCACAATGAAGCGCAACTTAGCATGCAGACTAACTGTTGCTACACTACAGCAACAGCTAAACAAAAGTGAAACAGGTGTACAGATTTACAGATACAAGTTGAACAGTGACATCAACAAATTTCAGCATGAACATTTTTTTGAACTTGAAAGGAAGACGCTCTGTCGACTTCTTCTTCTTCTTTTGTCGTTTAATTGGCGGGTGGCAACCAACTTTCAGATGCATTTCCACCACCTACTGAATGGGAGTTTGATGTAATGAATCAAATTACATGTTATTTAATAAGCCATATGGCGTCGGATTCCATAGGAACAATGAAATCCACCTTATGGATCTAATTAAACCAGAAGATTGGAACTTTTTAATGCAGGGATTAGATAACAGCTTCGTATTCTCTCAGAGACAACAGAAGAGAGAGAGTCAAGTTTAAAAGTTAAGAATTGTATTACTAACAAATTAAACTAGACTGACTTTAAAGGGACTTTAGGGAGTTTTGAATTTTTATGCTTGCGATTGCCCCCTCTGGCCAAAAGCGTAACGACAGCTTCAATAGGAGGCCCGTGCACGAGGCGCGCATGCTGTACGTGCACACTCCTTAACGAAAATAACAGCTGAGACGAAGCTCTGTGAAGCTGACGGGGGTCAAAACGTTCATACTTTTATTTCTCTCTTTAACTGCCTTTTCACATTGTTCATTCCACCACGGAACATTCTTCTTTTTCATGGTCCCTTTACTTTTAGGAATAGAAACGTCCACCGCTTCAATTATCACTCTCCTAAAATTTTGTTCTACTATGTCTATATCCTTTTCCATTCTCGTCTTCACACATATATTTCTAAATTTATCCCAATCAGCTTTTTTAAATACCCAACGACCATCACTTTTGTCCAGATATACTTCCTTACTCCTATAAAGTTTTGTAAAAAATATATAATGATCAATCCCCAGATTATGTTCCCGAACTTCCCAATTACAGTTTCCCGCTAATGCATTCAACACTATTGTTAGATCTATAGCCGAGGTTTTACCCGTAGTTACGTTTATCCTTGTCCCTTTACCATCATTTCAACAGACTAAATTCATATCATCCATGAACTCTTCAGTGATTTCCCAATTCTTACCCTCCTTAATTCCTCCCCACAAAGAACTATGAGAATTAAAATATCCACACAATACCACCTGATCATGATTCCCTTCCATAATTAATTTAAGCTTATTAATATCTAATTATTTGCATGGATCATAATAATTGACTATATACAACTTCTTATTATTTACATAAATTTCTATTCCTATATATTCTTCATCGGTTCCTATTTTAATTATTCTATAATTCAGATTAACATGAATAAAAGTAGCACAACCTCCTCCAATACCATCTTCCCTATCACATCTTATTATTGTGTATGGATATAATTTAAATTCAAATTTTTTATTTAACCAGGTTTCTTGAACACAAATAATATCTGGTTTCTCCAATAATTCATCAATATATCTTTTAAATTCTTGTCCGTTGGCAATCAAACTCCTAGCATTCCATTGTAAAATCCCTACCATTCACTATCCCAACCCCTCTTGACTGGAACTCGCACTAAGGTTTTTCCTGACCTCCTCCCATGACAACTCAGTAAAGTCCAGATAATGAACAGCTGCTTTCACAATGATTTGTATCCTTTCCGTTTTTGATTTTGTTTCCATTGTTGCATTTAATACTCCTGCAATGAGGAGGCCTTCTCTCTCTGATCTTCAGTTTTACAAACAATCAGCAAATTTCCATCTCTCAAAACTCAAAGTGTTAGCTAGTTTTATGTCTCTTACTTGATTTTTTTTAAGATAGACGTTAGCTTAACTGGGTTCACTGTGTTCACCCCATTTCCCTCACCGAATCTCAATATGATTTTGAACCCTCCTTCTCCTTCATCTGCACTTTCACTTGACACAACCCTAATTTGTTTCCTAGTACTATCGTCATCAGAGTTGTTACTTCTCTTTCCCTTCATCGACTCCCTACGAAAACTCAACTCTAAATTACTGTCTTCGCTCTCACAGTCCCCCATGTCTCCCCACTCATTCTCATTCATCAAACAGTCGCGCCTACCTGCCATTGTTTTTCTTTCGACCAAGGTCTTCGCTCTCTCCAGGCAGCGGCTTCTGTAGCTCATCCACCTCTAGAGCCACCCCGACCCGCCTCTATCGACTTCACAGAACAAAACCATTCATAAAGGGTTCCCCCCACACTGCCCCCTAGTGGTAAGTGGTACACTGCAGAAGCTAAGTGATCATTAGAGCGTTCAACCTTGCGTTGTATTGTTTTAGCATTAGCAGTGGTAGACTACGAGTGCTGGAGTCCTGCTGGTTTTTGGTTTCCCTGTTTGAACACTAGATGTTGTGATTAAAAGCTCCTGGAGAACCCAGCGAAGGCTGAGGAGCAGTCAGAATCATGTGTCTGAGTAGGAACATACTGAAAACATGTGGCCAGAGCTGCTCTTTGTTAGCATACAAAGCTAAATGTCTGCGCATTTGCTGTGTGAGGCGTGGCTTTCAGCTCCTTTTAGAAGAGGAGTGGGAGCAGGAATTAGCTATAGCCCTTTAACTTTCAAAGTCTCATCTTCCTTTCCTTAATGTTATCACGCTATGGACCCTAGATTTGAAAAATGATGCTGTTTTTTTTTCTTCACTTTTACATTTAGGATGGGGTCCTTCTACGCCCCCTGCCTCCCAGCCCTAAACGTCCTGCGCCTCCATGTATCCATGTACCTGCAGTGCTGGGCTGTGATGTGCTGTAATGTGCCGCAGGAAAGAGTCTTTAAAGCCTCGGGCTCTAACAATTTCTACATGGCCATGCTGCTGGTCATCCTCTTCTTGTCCACTCTGCCGGCCATCTACACAATCGTCACAATCCCTCCTTCATTTGATTGTGGACCTTTCAGGTACTAGAGCAAGTATGTGGCGTTTGGTCTACTTTCTGTAAAACACCTAGCCTGGCAAGCCAGACTAAATAAATGTATTATTTAGCCTGGCCACGCTCCATTGACGGCTCTCGGTTGTGGGGCGGGTTCTACCGATGTCTTTCAAATGATCTCCACATTCCACTGGACAATGAATGTAACATACTCTTGTTTCACTCTGTTGCATCATCCCACCCACCAGGCATATAGAGTGCCCTGATTGGCCCACAAAGCGGATAAAGCTCTGTGATTTGTTCACTAAGCAGATAGAGCACTATGACTGGCCCACCATTATGGACAAATCACAGCTCTTTATGTGTTTGAAACCCCTCTAGAGAGCTGTGATTGGCCAGCCAGAATGCTGCAGAGGTTCCAGTGGAGCGTGCCTAGACCAAACTTTGCAAAGCAAGAATTTGGTCTAGTTCACTAGGCTATAAAACACCTCCTCCATTTACCACCCTCCCCCAACAGTGGGAAGAACCGTATGTTTGATGTGATCCAGGAGACACTGGAGTCGGATTTTCCTGCCTGGTTCAGTAAAGTGTTCAGCTATGCCTCTAACCCTGGTCTAGTGCTTCCCTTCATACTGCTCATGGTGTGAGTCACTTGCAAACTGCAAGAATGTCTCATTTTCACATGGATGAAAACTTTACACAACACAATTGTACACTATTTTCTTTTCACCCATGTTGTTCATAATCATCTGTTATTTATCTTTCAGATTAGCAATTTATTATCTACAGTCCACATCCAAAAGCTACAAAGAAGCAAATGTAGAACTGAAGAAAAAACTACAAATGGTAATGCATGAATTAGTGTTCATCTGATCTCTCGTCTTTCACAAGTTGAGAAAGCTTTCAGGTGATTACAAACATATTAGAATAAATCATCCACTTAGAAATATTTGGTGAAATAGTCCTTATATTTTAATGTTTTAGTGTTTTCCACTTCATTTTAACAACAGTTACACTTTAACAGTGTTAAGATGTTAAAAAAGATCCACCGCTTCCACTTTTTTAGTTGTATTAATGCAATTCCTCCAGCAGAAGGCAGCAGAGTAACAACTGAAAACCGACACTATTCATGCATAAACTAAATAAAAAAACATGCTATACTGTTGCAGTTCTTAGTTTTGGCTAGTAACCATTTATTAATCTTTTAAAGCAAAATGAGGAAAACAAGAAGAAAAATAAACGAGCTGCACTGAAAGCACAAATGGATCTGGAAGAGGCCAGAAAAGCAGCAACTCAGGCTGCAGAGCATCGGAGGAACAACAACGCTTCATTCCAAAGCCAGGAGGGTGAGATACACAACAGTTACTCAATAATAATACCAATACTAATATTACAACAACAACAACAACTACTACTACTACTACTACTACTATTACTACCACTACTACTACTACTACTACTACTACTACTACTACTACTAATAATAATAATAATAATAATAACAATAATTATTATTTTCTCTTTAACTAAATGTTTATATATTTAAATTTTATTCAGGCACATACTTTTTCCAACTCTTCTAATTATTCTTCCTATTTCTTCTAATTTATTTGTTCACTTTCTACTTACAGCAACTAATTTCTTTCCCCATTTGCAGCCTTTTGGCATTTTAAAATAACGGCGCAATTAAGACATTTTCAACATATTGACTGCAAAAAACATGTTTCAAACAATTTAATGGTGATACACCAAAGCAAAAATAATAATGAGGGATTTTTATCCCATGTAATGTGATGTAAGTAGTTAGTTTTGATAAATGTTCATTAAGATGTTATGTTCCATATAAATATGAATTATTATTGGTCTTGATATTTGATTTAAGATGAAACCAGGTATTTTGGTAGTCTAGGGAAAATATAAAAATATAGTTTATAAAAAATATTACTGCTACTAACAATGACTGAACAAATTATGATAAATGATGGCTGAAACAAGATAACTGAGACAGTGAATGAAATGATGGAATGTAAGCTCAGAGGTTATGTAGGAAAACCTAATTAGGTGTTTTAGAAAATTGTGATGTCTGGATTGTAAATGTAACAAACTACAAATTTATCAAACCAACCAGGCCAGTTGTGCAGAAATTACGAACCCTTGTGGTGAAGATTCCCGGCGATCCAGGTGGCCGGAGAAGGTGGTATGGACGGGCTGCTGATGGAGTTGACCTCTGTGGTATTCGCAGCACGTAGATCCACCTCGAATACAGAACCGCTGGTCTAAGATACCTTTTTGCAACTGACGCATGAATGCATCTGACGCAGCTTTGCAAAGAAGGTTTGACCTTGAAGGATGGTTCAACGCTTGCTTGCACGGCTTGGCCAGGCCGAGCACATGGTGGAACTCCTTTAGAGGAAGTGTCAACTCTTTTACTAACTATTGTTTATCAAGTTGGACAAATCAAAAACTTACAAGTTTGATGTAGGCGTTCACCAAAGACCTCAGACACCGTTCCTTTCTCAAATACTTAAAAGAGGTATTTCATCTAATGTGGAATAAATTTTATTAGACATTAATGTGAAGTAAATATGTTAAACATTCATAATAATATACCAATATTAATGTGTAAATATACTGGTAAATAAACCATTACTAACATCAACAAGTATACTCATTCGGTGTAATTCAAGATCAGAAATAAACCGTTATAGGAATAAGCATTTATGTTAACTCATTATTCATTACATTCAACATTATTAAAACACTGTAGATTTAAAACATCGTAGGTATCGCAGAATATAATTGTAAATACCTTGTAAAGTTAGAAAAGTTATTCTATGAGCCTAAAACAAAAGATAACTTTATTAAAAGGAGATGGATAAGCAGTCTTGTTTCCAGAGGCGTCAGGTGTCTGGAGATACCAGATAATGATCAAGTTCGGAGATATTCATAATGACACCTCCTGTGTCGGGTCGACCCAACCTGCATGTGAGAGATGAAAGTCAACTTTGGCCCATTTGATGAAATACAGGCCCTGACCCATGTTACATCCACTTTTCACTTGACAAACATGCTATTTTAACAGCAGTAAAAATGTGACTAAGAGCTAAACGGATGGATAAATTGCACATATTGCATTGGAAAGACTTTTGTTTATAATCTTTTTCTCAGTAAAGGTTTTTTTTTTCAGTAAAGGTTGAAGAAAACCATGGAAGAAATGACAGGAATCACAATGGGAGATATGGATGTAGTTCTGCTGGAGGCAGTGCTAGCCAACCATCAGTCAGAGGCCCCATTTCCAGGTGCTACAGCAACCATGGGAACTCTCAGTATCTACCTGGCTTATCTCAACAAACCAATCCCAGGATCTACAGAACACCGAGCCTGCAGAGTCACTGAGAATGAAAACAGTCACAGCTAAACGTGTTCTGGAGAGAATGAACCTTCACGTCTTAAAGTGAGAGAATCTTAAATGCTGAAATTGGAAGATATTGCACACATTATGTCTCCTCAAATGCAAATAAACTATTCAAATTCTCACATGGTGTCTTATATCAAAATAATAAATGTAGCATATACATAATATTTAAATCTAACCTGAAATGCATGAATAATTCTTCTTTTTATTGTTTATTTTGTGCTTTCTCTCTCATGCTTTCCATATTATCTTCTGTGCAGAACATTTATTCAGATGTCCAAGAGAGTTATCTGCACAATATGATCAGAAAATGTTTTGTATATACAGTAAATATGACACATTTGAAAGTAAAACAAATGTAATCAAGCTTTGATTTATTATATAAAACAGAGAATTTGAAAACATGTAAAATGCTAATAAAAAATCTGATAAATCAACCAAATCTGGTATTTGACATTTTGTTTTTAAACAGATTAGCATTGAACACATTCAGTATTTTTAACATTTCACACCAGAATTAATTATTTTCCACAGATGGCCTTTGAGGCTGAGGTAAGCCGTCCCGAACTGTGACTGGGCCAGAGTATTAAATGATCATTAGACATAGAGGCCATTTAAACCAGCTTGGAAGACTTAAATAGATCCCTCACTCATCTCCAACGCACTCAGATTAGTTTTTCACCAATATGTGTGTGTAGTGAAGGTGGGGCGAAATACAAAATTAAATTTTGATTTTGCAATAATCTGCCTTGTGTAAACATTTTCACTCAGGTAAAAAGTATTGAGTTGATAATCAGGTGACAACAGCTAACAAGCTCATAATGCTGCTGCTGACATGTATTTGTCAGGGTCTGTGTCTGTGTCTTCCTTCATGTGTCTCCTGATGTTTCTCCATCCCTCTCTAGATTCCATTCGTTGTCTCATAGCGCCCTCATGTGTCTTTTGTCTGCATCTCAGTTAAGTGTCTTATGTTGTTACCCTTTTTAATCATTCCTCTCAGGTCAGCTCCAGCCTCTTTGTCCCCAGCTCGGTGTATGTGTGTGTGAGTGCATGTGTGTGTGTTTGTGTGTGTGTGTGTGTGTGTGTGTAAGTGCCCTCCCCAACTCAGTGTAAGTGTGTGTGTGTGTGTGTGTGTGTGTGTGTGAGGGCCCTCCCCAACTCAGTGTAAGTGTGTGTGTGTGTGTGTGTGTGTGTGTGTGTGTGTGTGTGTCCTTCCCAACTCAGTGTATGTGTATGTGTGTGTGTGTGTGTGTGTGTGTGTGTGTGTTATATCCTCCTCCAGCTAGTTTGTGGGAGCCCTTCCTTCTGTCTTTAGATATTGTTGTTTAGTTTTGTGTTTAGGTATTTGCCCTTCTCTGTTTCTGTTTTCCCAGGTAGATTATTATATTCACCTGTCTTCCCTCCAGCCCTCACTCCACACACCTGCTGCCAATTTCCCTAATTACTCCTCCCGGTGTATTTAAGCCCTGTCTTGTCTCAGTGTCTTGTCGGTCCATTGTTGTATTGTTGTCAGCGTTTGTTCATGCTCTAGTGAGCTTTGTGCCTCGTCCCAGTTTTGTGCTCTAGGTGAGCTTTTGTTTCTTCTGGACTTTTGGATTTTTGGTTTGCTGCCATTTGGATTTATTTTTGTTCTTCCTACAATAAAAGGATTTTTACTTTACATATCAACTCCTGCCTCGTGTCATCCTGGGTATCTGCATTTTTGGGTCCAAACCATCCCCATAACATGACAGTATTACCAAATTTGTTTCTGTGGTAACTCATCATCAATTCATGGCAAGTAAGCATTAAGTTTTAATTCAGCAGGTATTTGAGATCTACAGATTAATGGTTGGCGGCTCTTCTTTCACGATAAACAAGACTGTTGCATTATTTAATGAAGCTGGAAGAGGCCTTGATAAGTATTATTTGGTGTTCTCTTTGTTTACTGGGGATTCTATCCTTTCCTTACAGAGAAAGAAGGAGAGCTGAGACAGTTTTTCTCTGTAACACTAACCTGTTGACGGCCCCTGGATCACCCTCCAGTTGGTGCTGGGTTTTGGCTTCATCCCAGTCTCAGTCCAACTGGGACTCTATGTTAGGAAAATAAGCCACAACGAACCGCACATTACCGGATATCTGAGTTCTGTACTCAGATGGTCATCTCTTGTTCACTAACAGTAATGAAGAGATGGAGCGGTAAAGTGAGAACTGATTTGATCTTGTCCAGTTTAGCTTTACGAGAGGAACGATTGGCACCGAGACTGACTTCAAAGGTGTGGAAGGTTTGCTTCAGGATTGGGGTTTAGGAGTAAATCTGACCAAAGTAGAATTACATGAAACTCAGAGGGGAGAACTGATTGTCTTGTTGATAGACAAGTCACAAGGAAAAGGTAATAAGTCTTCAGCTGCACCATCATTCATCAAAATGTTTGGTATCAGGGTGTGAAACACAGTGAACATGAACCATAGACCATCCCCAAATGGCTACAGTTGAACATACTATACCGTTTTCACAACTTCCTTATTGTTATACGATTAATTATATAAGATTATCCTAATGATATAAGATTATAAGCCACATCAACCTGGTGCTAAACACCCAGAAGACAGTGGAGGACGTGGTGGACTTTAGGAAGCACAACCAAACCCTGTCTGACACCCCCATCACGATGGTGGACTCATGATGCTTTCTGGGCACCACCATCTCCTAGGGACCTCCTGGGAGGCCACCATCATCTCAGTCATAAAAAAAAGGCAGAGCAGAGGATGTACTTCCTGAGACAGCTGAAGAAATTCAACCTGTCAGCCGATGAGGCAGTTCCACACCGCAATCATCGAGTCCATCCTCACCACTTCAATCACCGTGTGGTATGCTGGAGCCACTATCAGAGACATAATGCAGCGTGTCATGCACTCTGCTGAGAAGGCCATTGGCTGAAAACTCCCCTCTATACAGGACTTGTTCACCTCCAGGTCATTGAGGCGTGCAGGCCGAATCACAGCTGACCTGTCTCACCCTAGACAGTCTCGTTGACTTGCTCCCATCTGGCAGGAGGTTCCGATCCATTCTGACCGGAACCTCTTGCCACAAAAAACAGTTTCTTTCCGTCTGCGGTTGGACTCGTGAATCCAATCATAGAACTGCCCACTCCAGATGCTTTGCATCAGTCACCTGACCCTGTGTTGTGTTTGCACCTGAACTGACCCGCTCTGACCAGTACCTGCACTGACTTGTATATAGTAGCCACGTCTTTAATGATTGCCTCCCTATGTTATTATTTCATTGTGTTTTTTTTTCTTAATTCTAATTTTTGCTTATTCTTTACTTTTTCTTGCACCAAGTACCGCAACAATTTCCAAATGTTGTAATTTCTTGCACGGACGGCAATAAAACCCTTCTGATTCTGATTCTAAGATGATCTAACAGACAAGCGTGTGTGCATCTCATTAGGAGTGAAGTAAACTTCCATGTTAACAATTCAATTCAGTTCAGTTAATTTATTTATAGAAGACCCTTCTGTGAGCATTCGCATAAGCCCAAGGTGCTGTACATGCCAAAAGTAAAACGACAACAAGACAGCAAGCCAATAATAAAAAAAGAAGCAAAAAGATTCTAATTCGAACAATAAACCATTTCTAAATAAAAAAAAATTAAACCACAGCACAACAGGGCAACAACAAGGGCAGTGACAATATTACTAAAGCCAGCAGAGAGATCTCTTAAAGTGCAAATTCAGATGCCTTTTAAAAACTACACAGATGTACTTGTAGCCTGGCCAAAAACGGTTTCCATCATTGCTTCGATAAGCTTCTGCAACGTCACAAGAATTATTCCCATCCAGTGTTGCATCAATGTTTCACCAAGATCTTGCATTGATGACGGTAGAGTCTGACCGCTGCACAAAGCCTTCTCCAGCACATCCCAAAGATTCTTAATGGGGTTGAGGTGTGGACTCTGTAGGGACCAATCCATGTGTGAAAATGATGTCTCATGCTCCTTGAACCACTCTTTCACTATTAGAGCCTGATGAATTCTAGCATTGTCATCTTGGAAGATGTCCGTTTCATCAGGGAAGGTGGAATAACCTGGTCATTCAGTATATTCAGGTAGTCTGACCTCATTCTTGGAGCACATCCTGTTGCTGAACCTAGACCTGACCACCTGCAGTAACCCCAGATCATAACACTGCCCCCACAAGCTTGTACAGTAGGCACTAGGCACGATGGGTGCATCATTTCATCTGCCTCTCTTCTTGCCCTGATGCACCATCACTCTGGAACACGGCCCATCTGGACTCATCAGACCAGTTTTTAATCATGTCTTAGCATGCCAATGATCTGACCCTTCTCACACAGAGTAACGTCTTTTCCACGACCAGATGTGTCTTTCCACATGGTTGTTTAAGAAATGAGAAGTGACTTGTTGCACCAGTTGGGGTTAAATAACTTGTTGCCAGCTGAAAGATAATCACTCATGCGGTAATTATCCAATAGGAGGCTCCTACCTATTTGCTTAGTTAAATACAGATGGTAACTTTTTTTCTCATCAGGCAGTTGAGATCCCTTATTCCCAAGAGGGTAAATGGAGACGTGTTATCGGGGCCAGTACTGAAAATGCCTGATCCCCTCTGCACATTTAAACCTTGGATTCACCAACAGATTCCTCTCAGCTGAAAGAAAGGATTGAGTCAGAGCATAGATTGATAGAAGGGAGGAAAATTAGAGTGATGCTGCTTTTGCCAAACACAAGCCACACGTGTACTTCACTGTAAGAGCAACCAGCACAAAGTGTCAATGATCGGTGAGATAACTCCTGAGATGAATCTAACTTTTAAAGAGTCAGAATATAAAAAATAAACAATAAGCACACATGCTGAGTGAACACGTGTCATATCATACTAGTTTATTTCTATAGCACATTTAAAATGCAGCATGGGAGCTGCCCAAAGTGCTGCACAGGCAGGATCAGTTATCTGTGAGAATGATGCTGCAAATGCACAAAACAACAAAAAGAGAGAATTTGCATCGAGTATCTATGTACTTAAACTGTAAAGACGAGCCTGTATTGAGCAGAAATGAGTGAAGCTGCATCTCTCTTTTCCTTTTGCACTTCCATGTCAAAACTCTGTCAAGTTGTTAAACACTCTGAGCTGCTTCACCTCTCAGAGAGGATTACGTCAGCTAATCATCTAACTTTAATGAGCCGCTCCTTCTTTTTCTACATTTTCTCTGGTGTCTTTTTTCGAGGTTTTACGCAAGTAACTACAAATGTGGACACGTTTTGTCACAACACTTTCTTTTTGATGATGATGGTTACTATTAACAACTAAAGAGTTAATATGAAATAACAGATGTTTCCAGGGCTTTTCTTCCTTGATCAAACTTGAATACTTTAATTAGATGTACATTCTCTCTTTCTTGGCTGACAGGAGCTATCAGGTAACCTTTTGATTGACAAGTCCATTGTCTGATAGATTCAGTTTCTTCCTCGGCTTCGTCTAATGGCATAGGTGGAGTCCAGACTTTCAATGACTAATAGGAACAGCAACACACCCGTTATGTGTGTATGTCTGTGACAGACACTGTGTCCTCCTGGTGAATCAGCTGTATACAATAAGGGACTAAAGAGATGGGATGAGGTAAGAGAGTGGAAAAAAAAAAACCAAAGAAACACCACAAAAAGCTCCAGAAAATGCCACCAAAAAGGAAGAACCACTTGGTTATTGATGTTGAAAATGGTGAGAAACTATTTTATACTTTCATGCTTAAAACATAATTTTCAAGGACATTTACAAATTTTAGAAAGTCATGTCTTTAACTGTTTTTGCCTGTTGGTAATAATCTTTTGCAGTTGGGATGGATGTGGATGCTGACTTTGACAGTGAAAGTGAAGGTGAGATTAGAACAGTAGTTTTTTGTTTTAAATATTCAGACCTTTTTTGTAAATAACTGTGTGTGGAAATATAATCTGCAAGCTTCAGCTTTTAAAATATGTTCTAATGCCTTTGATAAAGGAGACGCAACAAGAAGAAGAAGTAGAAATAGAAAAGCCAAACCTCAACGCAAAGCCAGGCAGGTCAGTGATGAAGAGGAGGAGGAGGAGGAAGAGGATGTGGACAAGTCACCCAAAAGACGAGGACAAAGGAGGAGGACCAAATCAAGGGGAGATGAAGATGAGGATGAGGAAAATGGACAACAGAGTGTTGCGAACAAGCGATCCAAAGCCTCCAGGAGGAGAGGAGCAAAGAATTCTCGAAAGGAACAGAGTGATGAGGAGGATGAAAGTGACAAAGAGAGTAAGCAAAAAAGAGGGCGAGCTGTGTCCAAAAAGAGCAAAGAGGAACAGAATAATGAAAAGAAGGAAAAAGACAAAGGAAAAGATGGAGACAATAAGAACAACAAAAAGAAGAAGGCAGAGAAGAACAGGTAAACTATTGTTGGTAAAAAAATTATAAATATGAAAAAGTCTTTTTTGTGGAGGCAAAACATACGCCTCATTTTAGAAAACACGGCCCATATTAACAGCACATCTACTCGACTTTTCATAACAACACTAAGAAAGGTCTTTCGAAAAAGCAGGAACAAAAAAAATCCTAAATAAACTAGAATTTTGTGTTTTACATTAGAAAAGACTCATAAAACATAAAAAATCTATTATTAGCAAGGCTAAAGGATGTAACATATTGTCCTCACTCAAGGTTTATTGATGCCTACAGAATAAATCTCAACAAAGTGATGAGTTTGAAGATTGTTGGATGTGTTCAGTGGTGAGATGGAGATCCCTTCGTAATTTCTTATGTGCCTTGCCATCTGAATCTTTGAAATGTGTTAATTGTGCACCTTTTAATTGCTTATATTTTGTAAAAAGTTGGGGTGCATACATTTCTTTTGCATTGCCTTGCTAAGTTATTCTCAGAAACACACACACACACACACACACACACACACACACACACACACACACACACACACACACACACACACACACACACACACACACACACACACACACACACACACACACACACACACACAAAATAAACGCAAAACAATTCCATGATTTTATGTCCTCCTTTGAAAGTCGATTCTGGTTCAAAACTCCAGTGAGAATAATGAAAGTGGTGTGTTTTTGTATAAGCATTACAGAGGAAGTCTTCTCAAATTAAATGATTTTTAAGGCTGTTTAAAAAAAATCTACACTTTAAGTTAACAATTTATAGTAAGAGCATTTTTTATCCAGTTTAAAAAACTGATTATATTTAAATGCTCATCTTAGGTGTGTTCTTGCTGTGTCGTTCTAATTCCATGTTGTCGTTCTTTTTTAAAACACAGAAACGGTTTTGTTACCTGTTGACGCTACGTTTCGCCAATGGCTGCCGGCTTCTTCAGGCTGACGCTGATGGTGGCGCGTCCCTTCCTTCTCCGTTTATCTGCGGGCAGCAGAGGACGTTGTCGGACCATGAACAGGGACGACAGAGTTTACACGCTGGACCACGCATGGGACTGCATCGTCGGAGAGGGGACAACGGGCAGTAGAGGGCGACAACGTCCTCTGCTGCCAGCAGATAAACGAAGAAGGAAGTGACGCGCCACCATCAGCATCAGCCTGAAGAAGCCGGCAGCCGTCGGCGAAACGTAGCGTCAACAGGTAACAAAACCGTTTCTGTGTTTTAAAAAAGAACGACAACATGGAATATTTAAATGCTTGTTGATAACTTGGTTGCATTTTCCTAAATTTCAGTTCCCCCATATCTTCTGATGATTCTGATGAAGAGTCAGAAGAAATGTCAGAGGGAGAGTTGGAAGCCCTAAAGGAGCAGGTAGAGGAGAAGAAGAAGCTAATCGCTACAATAAGGAACAAACCCTGGCGCATGCAGAAGAGGCTCTCAGTGCTGAAGTAAAAAAAGATCAAAATAATCAGTAGCAAAATGATTCATCCTCCACTTGTTGCTGTTATATTTGTTGATGTGTGACCATATTTTCTTCAGTATTATTGACATCTTCTGCTTGGGATAATGCCTTTGTGTCATGTTAAAAGCAGATTTAGCCATATCTTCCATTTCTTCACCTTAAATGTGTTCTAAAAACAATCAAAATAACTTTTGAAAACACATAGTAAAAAATAAAACAGGATACTGTAGCAACCGTTGATTGTTTATATCCTGTTTTTTGAACAAAATAAAATGGGGAAAGTGATCATTGTCTTTGAAATCTTAAAGGGGGCATATTATGCAAAACTCATCATTGTGTCCTATTGTACTGCCAAGTGGGTTTCTACTGCCTATAAAAACACTCAAAATGTAAAAAAAAAAAAAAAAAAAAAAACACATCTATCTAATTTCTGTCAGTGTTTGGTTTTAGGAATTATTCACCTTTATCAAGCTGTTTCAAAATGCCCTCGTTTGTGATGTCACAAACGGGGAAAGTAGAATAGAACCATCTCTCACTTACAAGACCCAGAAAACAGCACCTCAAGATTGAATAAAGGCTAGAACCAGTTCAAATTGTTTAGTTAAACAGGCAGGAGAAACCAATGAAGGGTATTTGGAGTTAGGATAAGCCAAAATGTCTCCATGCTGAGGCGAATGACTGATGTTTCAAATGTCCAAACTGTGCCTAGACTGGAAATAACGCAGTCATTAATTAATTTCAAAATGTCCACTCTACCAGTGGGGATAATCTGAAGGTTGTAATCCAAGATCTTTAATCTAAAACAAGTTCAAGGGACAGCAGAGGTCCAAACAGCAGGAGTAGGAGAGAAAACACTGAGAATGACTACGTTTACATGCAGCCAATATCCGGGTTATGATCGGGTTAAGGTCGGTATTCGGGTTTCTGAGTTGATCAGAATAACCCGTTTACAAGCATAAATAGAAAGAGTTACCCCTAACTTGCCGATTTAAATGCAGACGTTGGGGTAGCGTCAGGAAGTATGGACTACGTCCAGACGCAGTATGCATCATTTCCGGTTCTTCTTGTTCTGGTATCCGTGAAAGCAACAACATGTTTCCCAGTTCGGAAGAGATAGCGACCGCGTTTGTTTGCGCTTTAGTTTCCTCGTCACTCCAAAAGTGTGGTGCTGTGCCGTGACTCGCCATGTTGCTCCCAACTTGTTGTTTACTTCCGGTATTCTGGCGCATACAAGACGTCTCGCTACTCAAAAGACCAAGATTCCTTGCGAACAGAGCATGCGCAGAACACACGCTTTGATGGGGATATCCCGATATGCGTTTACACGACCAAACATTCGGGTTAGAAAAGGGTTACCCCAGGTGTAGTAACCAGGTTTTTAAAAACCCGGTTATGAGCATTTCCGGGTTTTTGGTGGTGTTTACATGGACCTGCGGAACCGGGTTATTGTGAATATTCGGGTTTTAAAAGGGTTACTGGCTGCATGTAAACGCACTCAGTAACATGTGGGATGGAAATTTAGGGAAAGGAGAAGTGAGAGCACTCTCGTTTAAATGCGTGAGTGCAGTACGTGAGGTGGGTGGAGCAGAAGGCTGCCCATATCAGACTGCCAACAGATCTGACATTCACATACAAGTGTCATGACCCCTTTCCACATGTTGAGTTTCTCAGTTTGTAGAGGCTTGAGCTGAGATAGGTGGGTGTGGCCAGCTACAGCTTGTTTTCTTAAAGTGACAGAGTCCTGAAATAACTCATTCTGGATGGTACTAAAACTGTCAAGACTAAAACTGCTGAAATGTCTTTATGTGAGAGAGATTTTGTGTGAAGAACTTCATGAACATTTTTGGTGTCAAAATGTCATAATATGTCCCCTTTAAAATGAATCGTTAAACATATAAATGTAGTCATTTACGGCATCTGTTGTCTACGAATTAGTTATTTTCAATGATGAAACCCTCCAATGTATTTATAAACAGGTCTGTTAATGTGGGTTGAGTATCTATAAAGTGTGTGTGTGTGTGTGTGTGTGTGTGTGTGTGTGTGTGTGTGTGTGTGTGTTCTGGTGAAACACCACTTTAACATGGTTTGAGGACCACCCCCATGGTGCTGTGGTATCTGGAGTGTCATGCTAAGGAGGATAGTCAGACTAAGGGCAAAAAGGGCATAATGAAGGACAACTTTAATGAACAAGACTCTATTCTAATGTTTGGTGCGTGGGACGACCTGGCCTTGGGTATGTGGAATATCTAATAACATCTTGTTAGCAGGAAATGAACTGGAGCTTGAGTGAGGCTATTGAATACCAACTTCATATCAATGGGCTGAGTTTGTTGATGATGATCTGGAAGGGTTTCCATTTCAGAATTATGTTGTTTATTTGAGACTTCAGTGCCCAAAGTGGCAGCGATGGAGTCACCAAGAAAAGACGAGGCCTACATGAAAAAGTGGCCTCCATGATTTGAACCATAGAGGTGTTTATTGTCAAATTTCTGTGCTAACCACAAATGGCCCATGACACACATTTGGTAATGCGTTGGAGTATGGATGGGTGGGTGGATGGATGTCCTGCTTTCCATATCTTTTGGATTTTCCACAAATCACACATCCATCCTAAACCTTAGACAATATGTGTTTATTGTTTTATGAAGGTGATGTTTTTATCATTGGGTTGGATTAGTTTGTTTGGTTTATACTCTTGTTTCATGTAAAAATTCAAACAGGGAGGCCCAGGACTTTGTTGAAAGGTTTGAAGGAGCTCTTGGGAAAGGAAAAGGCAGGAGACTTTATGCATTCAAAGTCATGATGACTAAGGTAAAGTTCTGACCGCAAAATCTTTGTTGTGATTATTTAATCTACAATTGCACAGGTAATCTTTTGAAAACTTCTTTCTGTAGAAACTTATCAAGTTTAACCGTGACTTTGAGAACTTCAAAACAGCCTGTATACCTTGGGAGATGAAGATAAAGGAAGTAGAAAGTTGGTACCAAAGACACAATTATTTAAGATGAAGTGATCATCCTAACATCCATATATGGCAACATTCACGTTTACAAACAGAATCTTTTTATGTCTGGTTATAGGTCACTTTGGATCATCTGTGGCATCCTACTTCATTTTTTTGAGATGGATGTATGGTTTGAATCTGATCCTCTTTGGGTTCATGTTCGGCCTGGTGGTGATGCCTGAGGTACAACATTTAGCACAAACCAAGCGTAAGGTGTAATCAAAACATTTTCAGCGCTGATTACTTTCTTTTTTATGTTTAGGTTCTCATGGGTCTTCCCTATGGCTCTATTCCCAGGAAAACTGTCCCTAGAAGTGATCAGGCCACCGAGATGGACCTCTCAGTGCTCCTTGATTTTGGAGTGAGGATCATAGCTTAACACATAATCTTTATCCAGGCGTATTGAGCATTATCCAAATATATCTGCATCACCAGACTGTTAGAGGGGACATATTCAAACATGTTATCGTTTTATTTTCAGTAGTTTTATAGTCAATACAAAACATGTTCACGAATTTCTTTGCATAAAATTACTCTCACATAAAATGATTACACCGGTTGAATTTTTGATATTTTCAGTACCTTCCAGGATGAGCTCTTTCAGGCTCTGTCACTTTAAGTAAACAAGGTGGAGCTGGCCACGCCCACCCATCCCCCGCTCAGGCTGATATTAGCTGGGAGCTCCGAGAACCTTGGAGTAAAGTCACTGCTCCTTAACTCATTCACTGCCAGCCATTTCCTGATCAGAAAAGCCCTTCGCTGCCAGCGTTTTTCAGCTGTTTATTTTAAAAGAGTCACAGAATGTTGCGCGCTATGATGATGTTGACGCCAAAACTAACAAAACAAAGCAGAGACTCACTTCTTACATCAGGAAGAATCTGCGCGCTTCGAGCGTTACCCGTTCTTTCATAATCCGTTGTCGAATTGTGATCGGCAGAAGCTTTTCAGGTTCGTGCCTCACTTTTTTTACAGCCCAAACGATCTCCTAACACATGGATTTTCTGCTTCCTGATCACGTGACGTGTGATGTATGCGGATGAAGATCGGCTTTAGAGCTGTGATGTTTGTTCTCACGGTGCAGGGGCTCGTTCCGATGCCCACACAGTAAAAAATTGCAAACGATGACTTAATTCATTTAGTGAACGGTTGGATTTACAATGCCGACTTTTGTCGTCAATGGCAGTAAATGAGTTAAGCATCAGCTCTCTCTTGCATGTGAGAAGTGATTGTATTCTACTTTTCCCGTTTGTAACATCACAAACCTTTTGAAACAACGTATTTTAGACATGTAATTTCTAAAACCAAATACTGACAGTAAATGGATGGAAGGTTTTTTTTCACATTTGGAGTGTTTATAGAGGCAATAGAGACCCACAAGGCAGTACAATAGGATACAAAAAGTGAGTTTTGTATAATACATACCCTTTATTAAAAAAAACAGAGTATAAGAATGTAAATTGAATGTAGAATGTAAATGCAAACATCTACTGAACTACAGCAGACATTATAATTGGGAGCTGACAGTATGTCTTAGGTTTGTTTTAACCCTCTCAGGCTCAAAATAAGTTTTGATAAAAGGAGGAACAACTAAGTCCTTCAGGGGTACTTTTGAGTTAAAAAATGCTCATGAAATACGTATCTAGAGTAACCAGGTAGGTAGGTTTTAACTGTTGCAAATCTGAAACGCCTGCCTCCAGAGGGTTAATTTTACAGAATGCTGTTTAAATATTCTTCTTTCTGTCTTCAACAGGGTTACTGCCAGTATTCTGTTTTGTTCTATGGATATTACAACAGCGATCGAACCATTGGGGTGCTGAAGTTCAGACTGCCTCTGTCCTACCTGCTCACAAGCGTTGGAATATTTGGATACAGCTTATTGGTCGTAATTAGAATGTATGAAATGTTTTAAAACACGAGTCAAGTGGTGATTGTGATCTGTAGGGCATTTGATCGTTGTTTATCTTTTCAGGATGGCTCGTAACGCTGATGTTGGAGGGGATGGGGGTGATGATGCGGACTTCACCTTCAGCTGGAAGATGTTCACCAGCTGGGACTACCTGATAGGAAATCCTGAGACTGCAGACAATAAATATGCCTCGATTACCACCAGCTTCAAGGTTAGCAGGTATTAGAAAATATTAGAGAGTTAGGTTTGGGGAAAATTTCAACAACAACAAATAAATAAATAGAAAAACTGAACAGTTTTGACATATAAGAAAAAATCATTAACAATGTGGTTTTTTTAAAAGCCTTTGTTTTCTCATTGGGGCGTGGAAACAACAATGCACAGTTTCAATCTGCTCTGCAGGAATCCATTGTGGATGAACAGGAGAACCAGAAAGATGAAAACATCCATCTCCGGCGTTTTTGCAGAGTCTCTGCAAACGTTCTGATCTTGTGCTCGCTTGGTGGCAGCGGGTATCTCATCTACTATGTGGTGAAACGGTCTCAGGACTTTGCTAAGATGGATCCAAGCAGTCTCTCGTGGTTTGAAAAAAATGAAGCAAGTTGACACAAAACATTTGAAGACAGAAAGTGAGATTAACTGATGAGAGGGCTGACTGATCAGCATTGTCCATTGTTTCAGGTGGAGTTTGTGATGTCACTTCTGGGACTTGTGTGTCCACCTTTATTTGAAAGCATAGCAGAATTGGAAGATTATCACCCTCGTATTGCCCTGAAGTGGCAGCTGGGACGGATCTTTGCCCTTTTCCTTGGAAATCTTTACACCTTTCTTTTTGCCCTTTTTGATGAAGTTAATGGCAAGGTATGCAAGATATGTCACAACTGAACTTGACCAGTAAAACCATCACATTTGGACATTCGTGCAATTGCATTGAAGCAAATTATGTTATAGCAAGTGATTAAATGTCTGCCTGCATCTGGTGTTTGTAGACAGTGGACTGAGCTGATTAAGTCAAATTTAGCTTTTTACTGAGAATGATTTGTGATTTTAGCTGGAGGAAGAACTCTCTATCAAGAATTCCTCTGAATGGGCTCTGAGTCAGTACTATGCCAACTACAGTGCCTTCTACAACACCACAGTTGTGCCTCCTCCAAATGTGAGCCCAGCTGATGTCATCAGAGGTCCCTGCTGGGAGACTGCTGTTGGACAAGTCAGTACTGATATTATTCACTTCAATGACTTTTCATAAAACACAAAGATGATCTGATTATTTGGCCTGGATTGTGTCTTGTCCTGCAGGAATTTGTGAAGTTAACTGTGTCAGATGTAGAAGTGACCTTTCTGACTATTCTAATTGGTGACTTTGTACGAGCGTTCATTGTTCGCTTCCTTAACTACTGCTGGTGTTGGGACCTGGAGGCTGGATTTGTGAGTACATGTGTGTACTTCAATTCTACAGGAAATGAGAAATATGTTTATGGAAATCTTCCTGAGGAGAATTTGTGAGTTCAGGTGCTGTTGGACAAGAACGTCTGGTTATGCTTTTCATGTAAATTCACACCAAAGCTTCTATATTTGTTGGGTTAACATCAAGACTCTGTGCTCAGTCAGGTTACTCCACATGCTCATTCATCTGTGTCTTCATTGGAACCTGAATTGATTGATTTGGTGCTCCAGTTGTTTCGACACTAAAACGTGCCTTCTTGTGGATGTTAATGTGTATTCTATTTGAAAAAATGAAGGATTAGTAATTGTCATATTAGTGAACAAAATAGTCAACTGAGGTAGCAAATAAATCTTCAAAAAATAAAAAAACAAACATTGAAGACAAACCAAGTAATCAGAAGTAAACAGAACCAGATTAAAAAAACAACCTGCACCGCCAATAGACAACAACTGAAGAAAACAGTGAAGGATCTGACTAAGCCTGGTGATGGATAGGGCGATTTACCTGTTGTGATTAGTGGATGAGAGACAGCTGGATGATATTTGATGAATAGGGGGTGAGTGAAGGACAGAAAGGAAGATGAGGGAAAACTAAATTGCAGAAAAAATAAAATTCTAACTAAAACTACAGATAGAAAATATGGTCAATATATGATCTGATCTACCAATTTTAACAAAAAACTGTCACAAAACACAAAACACGTTTATTCTGTCATCTAAATGTTATTATTTACATTCAAACATGAATTATTTTTGACCCCACATATTGCTGGAGAGCTAGAGGGATCTTTAAGAAGGTGTATTGATGTAATAAGTTCACAACCACCAAATTGTCCTGCTCTTGAACACTAAACGCAGCACATTGTGCAACAGACTCAGGTTCACCTGATAGCATACATTAACATTTGGCAAGACAGGTGATCCCAAACACTGGGGAAACTAGAGACTGAAATGAAAACTTAATTACAGAGAGTGGAATGGAGAGAGAAGGAAAGAGGGAGAGAAAAAGGAGCAGCAAATACAAAGTGTATTGACCTGCTGTGTTTTTGTCTGTTCTAACTCAAGCCACCTTTTTGATCATGGTTTTGTGTTTATTCCAGCCTTCATATGGGGAGTTTGACATCAGTGGAAACGTTCTGGGCCTTGTCTTCAATCAAGGAATGATATGGTGAATTGTTACACATATGCACGGATTACTTAGTCACTGTCTAAGATGTGAAGAAAAGTAGAGTAGTGAGCTGAAATACAACTCCCTGTGGACCTAATTTACATTTCAAGAGCCTGCTTTGTTAAATCTGACAGCAAAACTCCAACAAACGGTGTTAAATGTTTAATTAGAATGCATATTTACCAAAATGATAAACTGGAAGTAATATGATACACTATCTTTATAATGATGTTGTCTCATGCTTTGTCATTCTCAGGATGGGAGCATTTTATGCCCCAGGTCTAATAGGAATTAACGTGTTGCGCCTCCTGACCTCTATGTACTTCCAGTGCTGGGCAGTGATGGCCTGTAATGTTCCTCATGAGAGGGTTTTTAAGGCCTCAAAGTCCAACAACTTCTACATGGGCCTGCTGCTGCTTGTGCTGTTCCTCAGCATTCTTCCTGTTATCTACACCATTATGACCATGCCCCCATCCTTTGATTGTGGACCATTCAGGTCAGTAGAATGTTGATATTTTATTGTTACAAAGTCATGCTTGTTATGACTGTTCTGTAAGTTAAAGACAGATCATGTTTATGGTAACTTACAATACCAGTCATGTACACTATAGCCAAGATGTAGGCTATAAAACTGATTCTATATCAGACAGGTGGCAGTCATCAACAAACAATCAAATTAATGATCAATATGCATTTTCAACATATATTTGTTATTATAAACTTTGATTTGTTTGATGCTTCATTCTGAGGAATAGTTAAAACACTGTTTTATTTATCTAACCCCCGCTCCCTCCTCCAGTGGCCAGCAGAAAATGTATGATGTGGTTATGGAGACAATAAATCAAGATCTACCAGCCTTTATGGGGACCATTTTTTCATATGCCAGCAACCCTGGACTCATTATGCCTGCCGTCCTCCTGATGGTGTGAGTATGATTTAAGATATCAAGTGCAACATTTATATATAATAATGATATAAACAGTTTTCTGATAATTAAGGTTTTGCACATTTTGTGTTTCCAATTTGCGTTTTTCAATAGTTCAATGGCAGCTTCTTCTCAAATTTGACTCTGATGGTAGCTTTTATTGTTCGACCCTGGTGGTCTATTCTTCACTGATTTATACGAGGTCTTAGTGGCACTTTCACTTTGAGAGTCATAAAGATTAATTTCAAGGTGGTTAGAAGTTTTCATGTCTGGGTTTACCCTCATCTCATCTTTTCCGTCAGCCTTGCAAATATGCCATTAGTTTCTATTTTTGAGAGTTGAGATGTGTATTCATTACAGCAGTTGATGGTTAAAGAATCCCAAGCACAAGTTTCCATCTTTTCCCATTTACGTCTTTGTTTTAGATGGCCCATATTGACTTTAATTTTTCCACTTGATTTAGGTGACCTTACATGTTGAAGTAAACATTTATTTTTGCAGTTGTGATGAAAAAACACACGTCTTGACCTAATTTTTATCGTTAAGGGTGTTAACCACCCTGGCTCCAGATTCTCACCAGATTGGTTGCTACAAGTAAATATCAAAAACAAACAACAATACTTCATTCATGTCGTGTTGCAACCACAAACATCAAACACGTAGACGCCCCGTGGACTGGAGCTGCTGTAGTGGCTGGTCGCCATCTTGGATGGGTCTCCATTCGCCCCAGTTTATTTTCTTTCTACTGAGGATGGCATTTACTCAACTAAAAAACAAATTTTAACAAGCTTTTTCATAAAATCAGACACAATGTGTGGCATGATAATTTAAGTATAAATAAACAAAATGAATTAAAATTAGAAATCCCAACAGGTAGGCTAGAAAAGTCAATAGTAATCTCGCGTGATCTATTTTTAATAGTACGCCAGTTGTTGCAACTGTAGGCTGCACAAAAATGGGGCACAGTTGCTCACCAAGCTTTCACTCCAGTTGGGTTTGAAGAACCAACCCAATATGGCGGCGACGCTGTTACGCTCTCCAGCTCTCAATGGGGCATTTACATATTCATGTCTTTGGTTGCAATATTTCATTGTAAAGGACAGGTGTAACTTTTCACTAGTCTCACGATTCGATTCTATTACGATTACTGGGTCAATTATTCAGTGCAATTCGATTCATTATCTCGATGCAGCACAATTATTTAATTTGGATTAGTTTTATTGATAAATACAATATTTCAGATATTTGCTTTTTTTTAAGCAAAAATATGTCTGACAAAATATGTCAGCCCCAAAAACTCTTCAGTCACAGTAGTCCTCAGGACAATGTAACAGTGCAGATCGTTTTAAACATTTAAGAAGATTTAACAGTAAAAAAAAAAAAAGTTTCCTTTTTCAACATCTCAGGCTGTGGGAAAAACATGCTCTGCTGATGCTAACATCTTTAAAAATCCTGAAAACCTATAGGTCGTGTCCAATTTCTTTAATTTAGGTTACAAAATTCACCATCTCTGGAGCAGCTTTAGGATCAAATATTCATGCCGCAGTTCATGGGTGAAATAAATAAATAACATGAAATGAAATGTTTGTCTTATTGTTATTTAGTTGGAACCCAATGGTCTCATTTCAGAAACCTTGGAGCATGGACCAAATTCTGTTTAATAAAAAAAATCAAATAAAAAAATTCCTAAACTTCCAATAATATTTGAGAAGTTTGTTTTATTCTTGCTGATAATATTA